ATGCAAAATGTTTATAGGTTACTTGCAACATAGAAATAAACTCTGTAACACTGAAATGGCAATTAGGGAATATTTGATCACGCTAATTGTAGAATAAGGGATGAGATTCATTAAGATAAAAAGTTAATTAGGTAACCAAAACTTTATCTGGTACATTGGGACTGCATGTTATTTAGTATAGTTTGGGAATTTGCACTATATTTCTGCCTCTGACAGTATATTGTGCTATGAAGAATATTAATGATACTGCAAAACAATTGCTGTTTAATTTGATAACTGGTTAAAAATCATGTATAATTTATGGGTACATGAAGATATTTTATCTTGTATCCCTTTATAAATGTCTTCAGGAGGCTGAAAATAAATGTATATACAATTATGTATATGCTTTGCTTTCAGCCTAAGGAAAAAACTTGTATGCAGCAATATTTTAGCTTTGTGAATTCATACCTTTTTTCCCTAAGAATCAATATTATTGTTTTTAAAAGCCCAACTTCTAAACTTTACATACTCTTCTAAAAGCTTGCAAAATGGAGCGAATTAAAATGGGCATGGGAAATGAGAGTATGTACTCTCAGGAATATGAACCATTAAAGAATCATATGAAAATCTTGTTTTTTGAAACATGAGTTTATATTATGATAATTATACCACATAACTATATTAGGCTTTCTCTTCAATAAAACTTTATAAACTGAGGGAAAGAAACAGGTTTTTATTCCTCCCATTTTCTCTGCTGGTCTGGAAATTTAGTCTGATGTTTCAGTTTTAATAGGAAATTCTGATTGATAAATTTGATGAATAGCCAGCTTATTACTATACTTCCTCACATGTGTGTAATCAGTCCTTACATTCTCTCTATGTTGTTTTTCTTCTTTTGCTGTTGTTTTTGAATGGATGAAATTGATAGGCAGTGAAAAATGGTGTTGTGTTCTGTGAAAAACCCATCAAAGGCAGTCCCTCCCAATGGTTGATGGTTAGGAAGCCAACGAGGCTGATACCCATGTGAACCTTTCTGAAATCTTTTTTATTTGAAAAACAACAAATTCTTTTTCATCAAGTAAATAAGAATGATTGAAAATAGACAAGGCACTATTATGTACACATGCAGTCAAATTTCTTCAATATTCTTTCAGGTAAATAGACATTATTTCATTTCTTTCTTTCTGTGTGTGTGCGTGCGTGCATGCGCGTATATTAGTGCTCCTTCTTCCACTATCACTATTCTGAGAGGCAAATCAGAGATTGGCCCAGAGGCATTCAATGAGCTGAAGGAGGACTAGAATTTGGGTCTTTTCATTCCAACAGCTTAACCTCAACACACATACTGGCTCTTATCAATCAGTAATGGTCAGCACCAAATAATCAGCACCAAGGAACCCACAGTAATGTTTATTGCTTATGCCAAGTTCATTCCTCATCTGGCTCCGTTGGCCATGCCCCTTATTAACTTGTCTGACCAAAATATTAGATTTTTAATCATATACATTTAATAATTGTTCTCGTAATACTAATAAACCAGAACACCAAGCCTAAAGCAAAATGTAAGCATCCATATATTTCATTGCAAGAAAGTCTTCATCTACTTGCAGTGAATTTCTTACAAAATGACACATTTTTCCCCCCATTGGAGGCAAAGACTTCTGATTCTTCCTAACCCAAATAAGAATTAGAAGACTCCACTTTCAATTCAGTGTAATAAATTATGCCAAATATATTAATACTCCATTCTGAAGCCTTTAGATATTTTGAAGCATTTGATGAAAATGAAATTACATTTCTTGAAAAATTGTTATTGGAAAGGGGATTTAAGTATTAAGATCATTTGCATAATTAATTGTGTTTATTCCTTAGCAGTAAATAGCATTAATGGATAGAAATTTTTCTCTAACAAATCCACCTAACAAATATGGAACTTATTTCTGTTTTGCTTGATCTCATTACAGAAGGGTTAACGCAGAATATTATGAACAGCAAAAATATTTATTCAAATGCAAAAACAAAGCATCATGTAATTAATCTGTTTGCAGATGACATACTCATATTTAGCTGCATAATTTAGCTGTAGGTTTAGCAGATTTAAGTCTTTTATAATCTCTTCCTAGACACTCAAGTGATTTTTCTGCTTCTTATCTTTTATCAGATAAGCAGTCTATTATTTTTCATAAAGTACTAGATGTTATTATGGGGGTTAATATACCCTGGCAAAGACATATTGCTGATTTGCTTGTCATCGTAGGTATAATACTGTTCCTCAGTAGTACTAAAACTTTCATCATAACCCTTACCTGAGCAAACAGTGCATTTGGCAGCAGTTTTTAAACCAAAGATTTCTTGAATGGGCATACAGAATGTATCCAAAATCTAGGACCCATGACTACCACTGGAGTGAAATTTGAGAAAGTTGGGAAACTTTGCTTCCATGCCATTGACTGTTGCTGTGCTGCTGGGCTACTGCTGTGGTTACAGGATCTTCATTTTCAGAATTTTGTGACAGTTTCCATCCAGTCTCACAATCCCTTGTGTCCTTTCCAAGCTAGCAGCAGCCACTTATGTGTCTGCTGTAAAGGGAAGGGAAGGAGGGTGGAAGGGAAAAATAGGGAGGTGGGAAGGTGGGGTGGTAAAGAAGAAACAGGGAGGAGTTTACTTTCTTCTGTTTCTTCATCTTTGGCAGTCTCTTAACAAATCAATCCTTCTTAATAACTTATTTATGTTCATTCCATAATTTCTTTGAGGTTCAGGATTTTAAAGTGATTGCTGATGCTGTCCTTGAAAATGATTGGTATACACCAGTGGTTCTCAACCTTTTTAATGCCGCGACCCCCAACCGGTCGTAAGTTGAGGACTACTCAACCGGTCGTAAGTCGAGGACTACTCAACCGATCGTAAGTCGAGGACTAAACTGGTGCAGCACCATTTGCAGAATGGGACTTTTGGCGGGCTCAGCAGGGCAGAGACAGCCTGGACAATTCCTATTGACCTTTGAAAGCCAATAGAATTAGACTCTATTCAAGAGAGTCTATTCTATTGGCTTTCAAAAGCCAATAGAATAAAAGGGAGTAGTACAGCTAAGGAAAAGGGGGAAAAATGGCAGACTGCATTGTTTGGCGACCCCCGTGAAATGGTCGTTCGACCCCAAATGGGGTCCCGACCCACAGTTTGAGAACCACTGATATACACTATATTCAAGGTCATATCATGGAAATTGGTTGGCTTTCTTCTTTAGCTTAACTTGGAACTTCATGATCTGTTCCACAGTCAGTATGCACCCCATGTCTTTGATGCTATTGTCAAGTTATTTCCCTTTCTTTTAGCAATAGCGTAATCAATTTGATTTCTATATGTTCCATCTGATATCATCCATGTATAGAGGTCTTGTGTTGTTGTTTGAAGATAGTGTTATGAAGTATAGTGCCAAAAGAAGCACACTTTTCAGGTCTTATGGGAAGACATTGTTTAATTAATAGGGCCCAGTGCATGCCAATCCTGTCTTGATAAGATAAGGAGCAGGACTTTCTGATCAAGGAATGAGCACAATTGGTACAGAAGATGAATTCATGCAAAACTCCTTCTAATCATGGTGGCCACTTTCAGCAGGAAACTAAAGCCTAGAACAGGGGTGTCAAACTGCCAGCCCGCAGGCCAGATGTGTCAGGGCAAAACCGCACCACCCCATTGCCGGCAATGGAAAAAAAGTCGCAATACGTTGCGACACGTCATGTGACATTGCAAGTTTGACACCCCTGGTCTAGAAGAATCCCCAGCCTACATACTAGTTCTACCTGGAGAATATAATCTCATCCATATATAGCAATGGAAGATCTCCAGATCCAACAGGACCCAAAGTCCACAGCTATTTGGCCTTAATAGGATTGAGCCTGAGTCCTTTTCTCCCCATACAGATCCCACAGCCTCCACATACTTCCCTTCTATCCCCTTGTATGTTTTCTCTCTCTCTTTTTCTCTCTCTTTATTCTTTTATTTCCTTTTTTATTCTAAGTTTTAATATTTACCTTGATGTTATTTTGATTCAATAAAAAAGAAAAAAAATAGAAAGCTCTCTTTGTTTCCAGGTATGTCTATGGTTGTAAAAGTTATGTGCTGATGATAAACAAATAAAATGTCTTGTTCACAACAGTAGTAGAAAATTGTCATTGAAATCATCTGGGGTGTTAGAGATAATATGTTAGGTATTAAAAATCTAGACTAGAAATATGCATGCCTTGTAATTGTCATTATCTGAAACAGTACACAGTGTAAATGGTGGCCAGACAGCTGTGAAACTTTGAGAAATTTAATCTACGGGAAAAAGAAAGCTTCTAATTAGATGCTTTACTCTGACATGGTGGATTTCACAAGGCAGCATTTGAACTCCTTTTTTAATATTGTAGAAAGAGACTATTTAATGTTCCATGATATTTTCACATAAAATAAAGCAGCTACCTAATGTTCCGCGGCACTCTCTTTTTTCCAAGAGAAAGAACAAACTCAAGAAATTGTTTGTAATAGTTGTTGTAGGTTAGGCATTTTGCTTGGTTAATGCTTCAGCTTTGGGAGTTGTTTGTAGTCCATCCAAATGAGAAAGCCCTATTTACTTCGACTTTAAGCATAATTGAATTGGAAAATGTTTGTAACGAAAAATGAGGCCTCTTATTGGGTTCATTCTACTTAGGAATGTGTGTGTTTCATTAATTTTTCCATTAATATTTTTCATTAGCAAGAAATCAGAGATTGTATTTTATTTTTGTTTGACTTTTACATTTATCTATACACACATATACGGCTATATATTTATTGACTAAAAACAATAAGAGTCACTTGTTGAGAAAGATGGCTTTCTAAATCAAATAAATAATCTTTCTAAACTATATTTAAATATTCATCCAATTACATATTTATTATGCAATCTTTACTATTCTGATCTCTGTCTTTATTTTTGCTTACTGTCTTACTGTTTTCTTATCTTTCTCACTTAATTTGGCTTTTGTTATATCTTGCAGAACCTCCTAGACCAATAGCTCCCCCACAATTGCTTGGTGTTGGACCAACTTATCTGCTCATTCAGCTGAATGCAAATTCCATTATTGGGGATGGACCTATCATCCTAAAAGAGGTGGAATACCATATGACAACAGGGACCTGGACCGAAACGCATGCTGTCAATGCACCAACATATAAGCTATGGCATTTGGACCCAGACACAGAATATGAGATTCGTGTTCTTCTAACTAGGCCAGGAGAAGGTGGCACAGGTCAGCCAGGCCCTCCGCTGATTACCCGAACCAAATGTGCAGGTAATACTTTTCTTTCTATCACTGTTCTATGTTTAGAACATAGAATCAGCTTCCTAATGTAGTAACCAATAAATCAAATGCATATCGAATGTGTACTAGCTACTGTCTTTTAATAACAGAGTAAAAAAAAAAAAAGGGACCCAATGCTGTAACTTAGTTTTAAAAAGTAACTTGAGATTTAATTCTGAAGAATTTGTAGAATAGCTTCAGCCAGGCAATAATCCTCCACCTTTCATAATAATATGAAGATACTATTTATGATTATTATTTATTCATCACATATATATATATGTATGTATGTATGTATAATGAATAAATAATAATCATAAATAGTATCTTCATATTATTATTATTATAATATACTTTTAATACAATTTTAAAAGATTATTGAACATGAACATTTGACTACATGAACAAGTGAAAAACAGCATAGTAAATGCATTTCTATTTCTATTATAAAACTGTAGATATCTATAATGGATTGAGTCTTCAGTTCTACAAAACAGCCTTTACTTTCTTATAGAAAAGTATTTTCTTAATATTGAAGCGCACATTTTTCCCAAACCTTGATTAGCTGAAACCAAAGAGAAAGTGATTACTATTTTGAACCAGATGAGAGAACAAGGGAATGTGCAACTGTCCAACATGTTTCGAATTCAGAGGAACTGGTGGAGGGTGTACCATTTTTCTATTGATCTTACCCTTATGAGTTTCCCATAAGCAAAGATTGTGCTAGTGGGAGGATGACAAGGAGTGTCATCTCTATTGCATCAGTTCCTTCCTGGTTCTCCATTGACTTTTAGGAAACATTGAAAATTGGGGAACATTGAAAATGAGGATCCTCTGAAATAGCAAACAATTGCCCATATATCATTCCCTCCAAGTAAGTTAGCCCGTTGGAGATACTTTTGTTGACAGAGATAGCCCTATGACTGGTTTTTGAGCAGTTGAAATTTATAACATATTAAACCACATGAGAGTTTTAGTAATACATAGATTTTGAAATATGATCATTCTTTGACACTTTTGAAACACAACTTCTTTACCTGTTTTCATTGGACTGGCATTGCTGGCATAAGCTTCATTTTGTTTTTTGTGTTTTTGATCAGTAGAGTAGATTTTGTGTGGTCTTCTTTCACCTTTAGTAAAAGAGTTCTTAACTCTTCTTCACTTCCAGCCATCAAAGGGATATACTCAGCTTATCTGAGATTTGTTATTCTTCTTCCCAGCAATTATAATTCCAATTTCTATTTCTTCTAATCCAGCATTTTTCCTGATATAGTTTGTACATAAGTTAAAGAAATATAGTGATAGTATACAACCTTGGTATACTCCTTTCCCAAATACAGATATAAAACATTGTATGACATTTAATTAAGAAAGAAAGATCTAGGATGCTTCAGAGTAAAAGGAATGTCTACCCCCCCCCCCAAAGACATAGGGATTATAGAAAGGTAAGGTTTTCAGGTCTGAGAGAAAATTATATCAATAGTATTCCAACTGAAGCTTCAAAACATGGTTATATGAATCATTTACAAAAGTGAATGTATTTATTCTGTTTTATTCTGCATAAAACGCTGCCCTTTGAGGCAGCTGCCCTAACATTTGTGATGAAAGTACATTCACAGTTGTATCTGTGTTTAATGGTGTTCTGCCCCAGGCATAATTTAGATGGGAACCAGATACAAGCTATAATATTTTTTGGAGTTTCAGCCTGAGGACATTCTTTATCTCCTTCCAAAGATAGCTTGTTCTTTTTCAACCCATAGAAGTAAAGCAGTAGCTCATTAAGGAACACTGCTAGCTGCTGCAGAAGATAAAGGTCAGTTGTTGATCTAGAATTGCTCATCTTCAGACAACTTCAAATCTTTGCACAGCTAATACTTCATATAAATACGTAAAAGGAGCCCTCCTGTATCAGACCAAAAGCCTGTGGAGCCTAATATTCTATTACTATATAGTGATGTAGCCATATCTCCCACTTTGATTGAGCCTTTTGGTTGAAAGAAAAAGTACTTTTATCAGATTCATTTTTTAAAAAACAACACTTTTTCATTATTCTGCAGTCTTGAGCATTCTTCATCGGGTCTCTTAAGGGAAGTTTGCCTGAGGTGGATTGTCCCTGTTGCAGGAAAAAGTATTTTAAAGATGGATTCCATGTAAATTAGTATTACTTGGGACATGAAATCCAGAATACATATGAAGCAAGGGAAAGGGAGAAACCAACCATGAGGCCAACTGCTACAAGGAGGAGGGGGAGACACAGTGTACAAAGCTGATATGGGAGAATAGTTTTACAGGAAAAATTGATGTGTATGAAGGCCTATTTTATTCTGTATTTTAATGATGCCTTAGCAAAAACGCTAGTTTTTAAGGCCTTTCAGTCCAATATAACATAAATACATCAGCAAGTATTGCAGGCCCAATTGGCAAAAAAACAAAAACAAAAACAAAACAACAACTCAGGATCGTATTGTTTGGAAATATGGAAGAGGCCTTCATCCTGCAGTGGATAGATAATGGCTAAAGTGATGATGATGACATAAATATAGCCAAGAAGTTCTGAAATCACAGAAGCATGGGGAGATTCATCAGAAAGACCAACAAAGCAAAGGGCTTGGGGTGGGGTGGAGGGGTTATGTTAGAAATTGTCCAATAAAAGTGAGTCTGAGAAGGAAAATGGCCAAGGGATGTAATGTCCTGGTCTTTTGCCTGAGGTATGTGCACTTACTTATTTAAATATTTTACCTTAAGTGAGATACAGTTTTAAACAGATGTACAGTCTTATATAGTCGATCCAAAGTACTTTCTGCCAACAATATCTGGCCAATTATGGTCATTTTAACCCAGCCTGATATACCTTGTACTGTTGATTTGAACATAGTTAGTTTGGAAATACTATGTTTTGCTTTGTTTATGTCAGGTTTCTCCTGTGATCACCTGGACTGGACACAGTTAATTCCATGATCCATTCACTCAGAGCTGTTATTTAAAAGGAAGGTTGCAGCCATTGCTTACAGCAATGGTGGCAAGCACTCTAATTTCAGTTAAGAAATCTATATATCGTATAGATAAATTAGGACACAGCATTTATGCTATTTTTCTTGCATGCTTTTTATTTAAAATGGTTTGTCTCTTGTGAATAAGAAGGAGACTGCATCTGTTGATTGATTTCTCATCGGTCTGAATACCAATTCTTACAGCTTGTTGCCATTTCTTTGGAAAGATTGCTAATGGCTAAAGAATATGGTTACTCACAATTGGTGCAGCAACTAAAAAAAGCCTATTGAAAATTATTCTGATCTGAAAACTGCAAAATAGCTTCAAAAAGTTATGGACAAACATAGAAAGACAAAGGGGGTTCTGTTCTGGTCCACTAAATTGATGCTTATAAAGAACTTAAAAAAGAAAACAGATGTTGTTTAACTACTCTGGAAATTTTCTGTTTTACCACTAATATAATAGCTTAGTGTAGGTACAGGACAAATGAAGATATGAGTTACAACAGAAGACATTTCCTTGAAGCCTTGCAACCAGTTTCAGTTCCACCCCATATGACCCCAGAATTCATTCCAAACTAGTATACCTTGTCATTCAAAGTATATAGTTCCCCGAGTTCAAGATAAATTGTTAAACAACATGTGCAGAATGGTTTGAGTTTAGAAAAATTGAAAGAACCTGGAGCTTTTTATATTAATTGTGGTGAAACTAAGGTCAGGAAAAAGACATTTCAGTGGCCCTCTGTTATTGCTATAGATGCATATCCATTTGTTTGGTTTCATTAGTATCCTTGGTTAGATGCTGTTTACTAATGGACAAACATAGAAAAGTAAAGGAGAATTATATAAAAGACATCTTGGCATGTTTGTATGGAAATGAAATAAAAATACGTATAGCACAAAGCAGGCTTACACCAATGTAATAAGTAGAACTATAAATAATAAGAAAGCACAGTTTCGCAAAAAAATACAAGCCATTTTTAATTCTTTAATCATTACATGTTTTAATTAAAATTTTGTTGAATTGGAAAAAAGAATAAAAGAGTAAAAATACTGAAGAAATGGTCAGTTTCTCACAGGGTATATCAAATAATGTTAGGCTTAAAAGTTAAAACAAACCTTTTCAGTCATTGTAGTGCTTCTGTATATATAATCAATAATGAATCAAATTCTGAGGGAGTAGGGTTATATTGCACTCTATACATGGTTGCTGTCTGTTTTATCTAAAAACGTACTTCTTCCTTTTGTGTTATTTTTGTTTCAAGCTCCAAACGATACTTTGAAGGGTCAGCTTCAAATACTTTATATATAGCATTTCCGAAGTAGTTCAGAAATCCCCTGAAAAATTCGACTTGATCAAAGTAATGTGCCCAAGTCATATTGACTCACAATGACCATCAAAGGACCACTCAGCCCTAAGTTTATAAATATAATAATAATATTTTTTTGTTTTGCGGTCACAGACCAAAATACAAGTGCAACAAAAGAAAACACAAGAAAAATATAATCACAAACAATTAACACCAGAAGCCTTGGCTAAGGGGAATTACAACGTTCTCCTCTAATAGTTACAGCTCTTAAAAGAAATTTAGAAACCTGAGAAGTAATATAGGAGGAGCCATCCCCTAGACAATATAAAACCAAATTACTAACATTAGAACCAGAGGAAATCAGTTCTAAGGAGAGGCAATAGTTTAATTCTGGCTGTATTATACATAGGGCAGTATAATAAGACATGCTCCACAGTTTCAACTTCAGCCCTATCACAGGGGCATAATCGCTCACTAAACGGGAGCCTCTTGAATCGCCCGTCGAGTAGTGCTGAGGGCAAAACATTGAAACAGGCTAGGGAAAAGACTCTTCTATACTTGGGGATGGTTAGAGTATAGAAATAAGAGGCCATGTTCAATCCATAATTATTAGAATGGCTAAAGATCAAAGGGGAGCAGGTTTTGTTGGCTCTGGCTCTTAGGTATTGCAAATCTATGTCCACAAGCCGTT